CGGGAGAAGCGAATAGCGACGTTCGTTCGGATATTATAACTCGATATTGGTTTCGTGCAAAGGGAATTATTAATATTAGCGTTTTCGAGAAACCGGTCTGATGCCTCTAACCTCCGGACTCGAGTGCGCGCTCGCGCACGCTGGTAATCGTGCAATTTGTTTATCCGCCGTCGTGGAATATCAAAAGGATTAGAGGCAGCGAATAGATAATAAACATCGGCCAATAAAGATATCCGAAAATATCTTGCGATGCAAGCTCGGCTAATACCATCACAACGGACACATACGTATCTACGTACATATACATATATATAAACAGGGCTCGCACTTTATGGTATATATTCACGTATGCGAACGCTCTGATCTACGATTATGGATTCCTTCGGGCAACTGGAATGCTTGGGGAAGCAATGACGATATCTAACTTATCGAAGATTGAAAACGTAGTCTATATTCATTTCTATTTGATTTTTCTAACAATTAACACAACTATAGATTATAATATAGAAATATGTAAATAACGTTTTGTTGTTTGTCATATAAACACGTTTTATCGCGACGGAGCCTCGACAAATCGTTCGATATTGCTTTTCAACGTTGGTTTAGCTTACGAAACGATGAAGATAGATCATTGCAATGGCCAATAATTCTTCTAAAGACATAACTACCTGGCAATGGTTAGTGACCACGACGTTGTGGGGGACGACAACGACAAGACCACTCTACTTCTTCTTCTTCTTCTTCTTCTTCTTCTTCTTCTTCTTTTTATTCTTTTTCTTTTTCTCCTTCATCTTCCTCCACACGAAAAGCGCCGCCACGAAAATACCGCTTCCGGTTGGCCTAGATTCCGCATTTACAAGTTTCATTGCAGCGTACCGGTGGAAACGGTAGCAAAGTACGAGGGAGAAAGATAGATAGATAGAGAAAAAGAGATAGATAGAGATAGAGAAAAAGAGATAGAGATAGATAGATAAAAAGAGAGAGAAAGAGAAAGAGAGAGAGAGCCCTCGTGGTAGCAGCGAATCCCGTTCAAAGCGGCTCCATAATTTATGTATTCTATGGCCACCCCTGCTGCGTGTCCCCGTCATCCTCGAATTCCGCTCTTCTCTCTTTTAAAATTCCATTAAGAGTGCAGTAGCGCTTTTTGTCGTTTGTTCCCGCTGTCCGTTGTTTCACTTTGCATCCCATATAACCACCAGGAGGGATCCATGCTTCCAGGCACCATCGATCGATTATTCAAGTCACTCATTCCACTTTCTCTCTCTCTCTCTCTCTCTCTCTCTTTTCTTTTTTTCTTTTCTTTTCCTCTTTCGATTAACATTCACCTTGTTCAAACCCAACGTCCAGGTCGACGTCGATCCTTTTAATCGTGCAAACCACGAATTACCGTGCTATCACGATTTTAATCGATAGCGATTCTCTCTCTCTCTCTCTTTCTCTCTCTCTTTCATTCGTGTTTCGTTCACCTCTTTCTCTTTCTCTTCATTTCGCTTCGCTTATCCTTGCCTCACCCCGGTCCACATCGAAGTTACCCACGTCGACGGGCCGCGACGTAATTTTAGACAGTACACCAGTGACAGTCTTTATAACGCGCGTGAAGTATGAACCACTTCCGGTGGGGCTACGTCATCCTGCATGTCCCCTTGCACTCCAGTGCCTCCGATTCTAAATCTAGATCTAAATTTTCGCGGCTTTTATCCTCGAACTTACTCGTGTATTCTCTCTCTCTCTCTCCCCCTCCCTCTCTCTCTCTTTCTCTCTCTCTCTCTCTTTCTCTCTCATGCCATAAAAAGTCAATCTCTTTCTTCTTAAAATTTCTTCACTTTCATCTTCCTTTCATTTCTTCTTTTGCTTCTTTGGAAGCATATCTCGAATTTCACATGCCTAATGTTAAAATCTTTTTTATACCACTATAAATATATATATATATATATATATATATATCACCATATATTTGTATAACGCTATATATATATATATATCACCATATATTTGTATAACGCTATATATATATATCAGCATATATTTGTATAACGTTATTAACACGAAGAAAAAACAAGAGAAATTATTTATAAATTATCGATCAGAATTATTTGGAACGATCTGAATGATGATCAAACTCAATCAATATTTTTTGTTTGTTTAAAAAAATAAGAAATCCTTTTTATCAGATTAGAAGGACGATTATGGGGGTTTAGTATATAGTAAGGGGTAGTAGGTATGTTTCGGTAATTGCGTGGCTAAGTTTAGGCGGTGCAGTTGGCGTCAATGCGCGGATGCATATTCAGAACGGGGCTCCTCATATTCTTATGCTCACTTACTAAACCGGCCGGTAGCCTGTGTGCGTGAATGTGAATGGAACTTGCTGGCACCCCGCCTGTTTATATTTAGCCCCTGTGGGCGGTATAGCTGTCATGGATACGTATCATCGGCATAACTGAACTTTACAAATGAATAATGAAGTTCCATTCGGCCTCTCCACTTTGCCGTTTCTTCATCTGCTTCTTCAGATCGGAGAATCCCAATTGTTACTGCGAATGTTTGTATATGATATAGAGTACCATACGATGAATTCTATTAGAATTTTAATAGAATTAAAAATAGAAAGATATTTTCTTAAATTGACAATCAATCTGTCGCATTTACTATACATAAAATCGTTTATCTGAAATATTATAAGGATAATACATCAAAGATAAAAGAAAGAAATAGAGAAAGAGAGAAAGGAGAGAAAAAGAATATCATTATCGATCGTCGTTTGGCCTCGTAAAGATAAAAGACGTCGGGATAGTACGGGAACTATAATTTACCGGTACGTCCTACCACTTTGTGTTCGCAATCGTTTCCCTTTCACACGTCGCAAATCGTAGAAATCGGTTCCATGAAGAGGAAATAAATCGAGTAGCGGAGAATACGGACGTATAAAATAGGATTTAATTTGTCACCGATTCGAGTTTATACGAGGTATACTCGCGAACGGAACACGCATTAAGGTACTTTATTCTCCGTTCCCGAGCATTGTGTAGCTCAACACGGATGCTCGTTTAACGACGTCCGTCGTTACGACAAAGGACACGCACTTGTCTTGTACAAATCGTAAATCACTTTCACCGATCCCGCTTAAGCATCGAGAATCGAGGATTAATTTCCTCTTTCTCTCCTTCTCTTGCTAGAAAAGAGAAGGATGTCACATGAGAGAGAAAGGGATAAAGAAAAAAAAAGAGACAGATAAAGAGAGGGAGAGAGAGAGAAAGAGAGAGAGAGAGAGAGAGAGAAAGAGAGAGAGAGATAGAGAGTACCTAGAGTAATATTTGCATGTGACGCCTCCGGCTGGTGCCCGGACTTTGGATGAATAAACGTCTTCCTTATCGTCTAAAATAGACTTTAAACTTCAAGCGTATCTGGATCACAGCCAGCCGGCCTGTAGGTAAGAGAATACAATGGTATTACCTATGTTAAATTGTTGCTACGACCCTATAAGAATTTTGTAAGATAAAGAGTGATAGAGATAGAAACTTTTTCTCAACGTTCTCAAACATGAATTATTACGATTAATGATTGTCCCTCGACTAAAGAGTAGTGCAAAGATCGTCGTTCACATTAAAAGCTATTCGTTCATTACGATGACGATAGTATCTTAAGATAATGCATCGACCAATTATCTTCAGAGAAACGAATGGCTGTTATCTCGAACGGTGTGTCGCACGTTCGTTATCCATGCCCCTACTTAATCGATACTTGCTAACATAAGAGATACGGTTTGTGCTTGTGATCGGGTTTCGCGGATATAGTGTAGTAGGTACTTAGTTACTTAGCTATATTATTTTCTTCTTCTTCTTCTTCTTCTTCTTCTTCTTCTTCTTCTACCTCTTCTCTTCTTATTCTATTTATTTCTCTTACCTTTTTCTTACCTCAATGAAATATCATCCGTTGTTTGCTTCTATTTATCCTATATCCTTGCTTTTTGTTTTTGCTATTAAATACACTTAATAGATCTCGAAGGATAAACATAAGAATATCTTGAAAGAATAATAATAGTTAACGTTTTAATTAATTTCTCGCGAAGGTTGTTATAAAATCGCGAATAAGATCGTAGATTATATCGGAATTCGAATTTCATCATTTCTTTTGTTTTTCTTTTTTTCTTTTTTTTTTTTTTCTTTTTTTTCCTTAGATTATTCTCATATTGTTAATATCGATTATGCCGTGTAATCGGTAATGATATCATGAATGGTCCTCAACAAATCAATAGAACAAATCTGATCAAATGAAAAACTATTCATCATCTTGATGAAACAAGTTAATAACAAAAACAAGATTACACGCATATAAATATATAAGAGATCTAATGTATTATGCCAGAATAAATAAATCTAGATAAATTGCGCATAATTCGGTTGAAACGGATGAATATATCTTCTTAACAATGTTATAAAACTCGCTTTACAAGTTATAAAGTGCGCTTCTGTATTAACATAAAGATGATATTGAGATTATCCCAGTTTATCGAGTGCAATCAGCAAACGCGTTTGTCGCGTATCGGTTTCTCGTCTTTCTGGATTTTCTTCTAAGAAAATACATCACCATTGTTTCGCTTGTGAGTATTAATAATAATAATAATAAAAAAATAAATAAATAAACAAACGAAAAGATCAGATCATTTCGACGTAAGCAAAAAAATTTCATTTTCTATGCTACATATCGTACGCTCGATCGTTACCTTTCGCTAAAGTAAAGTACTCCTGTCAAATACCACGGATATGAAATGTTCATAAGGTTTCATTATTCAAATGTTAAATAACGCGAAAATGCTTTAATTTACAAAATGATTAACCTTATGTAAGTAAGTACATCCATTTTCGTATATCTATATGGACAAATAAATTACGATAATTCTCTTGTTAAATTTCAAATATTGAAATAGAGTAACATTAAAATTGATCGTAATTTTCTTGTTTTTTTTTTTTTTTCTTTGTTTCTTTTCTACTTATCCACCTCAGTCGTATCCACCACACATGAGCGTAGACTCGCAAAAGCAAATGGAAATGCAACGGCTACAGACGGAGCACTTGAAACGGCAACAAGAACACATCATGCAGCATAACATTCAGGAGCTGCAGGCACAAATGACAAAGAGTCAGTTGAGCATGTCGGGGCCGCAATCGTTGATGTTCCTACCGTTTCTCGAACAGCTCAGGCTACCGGTCCAGTCGACGATGCCACCACCGCCTGCCACGTCGACCGCGCCCACTGGCAACAAGCATATCAACTCCATCGCCAATGTACGTATATACTCTTTGGATCGATTCTCATTAATTTCTTTTGAATAATTTATTTGAGGAAAATCAATTTATATAATACATCAGTCCAATATTTTAAATCATTTCTATCTATATTTATATGTAACAGATACTTTCTCATCGAATTCAAGAATGTAAAATTTTATAGTTGATTTATTTTGTTGTTATGAAAATAGAAGATAAATAGTTTTTTTTTTTTTTTTTTTTTTTTTTTTTTTTTTTTTTTTTTTTTTTAACAAGCATTACAATTTTTTGTAATAACATATATACAACATATCCAACTCCATCAATTTCAATGATTTTTTACATTTGTTGTCCAGGCGACACGATTCTGAACAATTTTTTTTTCCCCTATATTTACATATATTATAGCCATTTGGTCTTACTTTCTGAGATATTCGTGAAAATATTTTTGACATTTTTACTTTGATGTGCGTCCGATGCCGCTTAAGTTTGAATTAGCCTTATCTACGGACATGATTATATTATATACTCATGCTCTGATGTATTTATATGTCTCACATTTCAATTTGTAAACACAGGGATATGAGAAAGGAATGCAATTTACCTATCACCAACTGATAAATAATATAACAAATAAAGTTATCGTCATTGAAAAAATTTATTTGGGTTAGACAGGATATTAATTAAGATTTATTGCTGCAGTTAATGTTAGCCCGACGAAAACCCTTACGCAACTCGAATCAATAGAAATAAAACTCAAATTTAACATAATCGTAATTAAAACAAAGCTCATTGTTTTAATTACGAATTGTTTCATTTTAGATTTGAATGGCGTTATTTAATGAATGCTCTTAAATAAATAAGCCATATAAATATGTTAAGTTGCATTTCTTTCTCATCTCCGTATGTTTACAAATTGAAACATTAGACATATAAACACATCACATCACGAGTATATAATATAATCATGTCCGTAGATAAGCTTAACCTGAACTTAAGCTTAACCCAATCCAACGTCACATCATAGTAAAAATGTCAAAAATATTTTTCATAAATATCTCGAAAACTAAGGCTGAGCTACGATTATATTTATAGAAAAAAAGATGTTTAACATAATATTATCGACGACATATTCGAAAATCATCGAAATCAATGAGATGAACGTATTTCTATATAATAACTCAATTTTTTAATTTGTAATTTGAATTTTTTTTTTTTTTATATCAATAAAAATATAATAATTAACATGGGAATATTAAAGTAACAATCAAATAATATTTAGCGAAAATAAATAAAAAATAAAAGAAACTGTATATTTTTTGTAGATGATCGGTAGTCACCGAGAAGGTCCGAGCTGGGCGACGGCACATTTGGCTCAGATGACGACGCAAATGGAGAAAGAGTCATCACCTACGCCAATATCGTCGGCGGTGGCACCAACGGCGGCACCTTTACAGGATCTCGATGCCCCTTTAAACCTCACCAAGCCGAAATCCTCCTCGTCGGGTGCGACAGCGTCTTCCTCGTCGCCTGGAAGCGATTCGCATTCGACCGGTGCTGGAAGTAGCGGTCAACAGGAACAACCTCTGGCTGCGACAGCACCTAAACTTTTTCCTCCTGGACTTCCAATACCCAGGAATTACCTATCGACGTTACCCTACGCCGGTCTTCCACCACATCTTAGCTCCCTACCTTCGCCTAGTGAGTTTTTATATTTATCAACAATTTATTGATCATGTAATTAATATAATATAATGTATTAATATATAATGTATAATAATTATATAATGTATTGAGGGATATGTTGAGATTGAATAGTATTTATGAAAATTATCGATAATTAATATATCCTTTTCATATTATTGATTTTATTTCAAATTTAAATTAAATTTATTCTAATATGCAATGTTTTATCAAATTCGCAACGTTTAATAAAAAGAATGACAACTTTTCAGTAGATATAATTTTCTTTGAAATAAAGTTATTATAAATAATATTCTAATAAAATAAAAGAGAGAGAGAGAGAGAGAGAGAGAGAGAGAAAGAGAGAGAGAGAGGGAGAGAGAGAAGAGTCTATTTAATATCGTTTTGTGTTGCACAGTGGGCAAGGTAATGGCCAAAGATGAAGCTGGTGGACCTGGAGGTTCCGTTGCGGCTGCGGCGGTTGCCGCCGTGGAGAAGCACTTTGCGATGCACGGAATTTATGGGCTACCACCAAGCGCTGGTGCGATGCCAC